AATATAATATTTGCAGAAAAAATTATAGCTGGAGTTAACGATGACGTGATTATCACCTCAATACATGAAGCCTCCTATCATAAAATATTACCACAGAGAGCTTCTTTAATATCGAAGAAAGATTTGTAGAATCTGAAGAAAAAGGTTTTACCCTCATACACGCCGAAATGTAAAGATAAAGTCAGTGTTAAAATGTGGTTGGAGGAAATGAGAACAGATATTAGATTCAAAATTATATTTTATAAAGAAGTTGGACCAGGCACAGCTAGTTATGGACTTCGAGATGAAGATTACATTTTAGTAATAATGACTAAAATGCAGTCTAGAATGTTAAAGGACTTCGGTAGCGATAGAGTTTGCATTGATGCTACTCATGGTACCAATGGCTATGGCTATCTGCTACATACTTTACTTGTAGTAGATGAATTTGGAAGCGGAATTCCAGTAGCACTTTGTTTTTCAAAGAGACAAGATGAAGTTCTATGCAAAATATATTTTCAACAAATTGCCAATGAGGTAGGCATAATTAGATGACGCTCCAGCTTATTCTAATGCATGGTCAACTTTTATGCTCCTGGTATGTGTCCAGGAGCTGGAAGAGAACGGCATCAAACAAGAAAGAGAGAAAATAGAGAGAAACGCGAAGTAATTTAACAGAAATTTATAGAAATAAAAATGATTTTGGATGAGGAAGATTTTTGGAGGAATTTAAATGATTATTTGAATGAACTTGAGACAGACGATGATGCTAAGATATTTGTTGCATATTTTAGGAAAGTTTACTGCAAACGAGCAGCTGCTTGGGCGTATTGTTATCGGAAAGGATTAGGAATTAACACGAATATGTTTTTGGAAAGTTTTCATAATCAGATAAAAAGTCTGAGTTTTTAAGAGAAGGTGCTCGAGAAAGATGGCTAAGGCCATTCAAATGGTGTTACGCCTTGAAATGGATTCTTTTCGACAAAGGACGCGAAGATTGAATGGAATGTCACTATCAACAAGGCAAAGAGATATAAGAATAAGCCACATGAGAAGTGTAGTAATTTTGCCTGATCATATTATATAAACCAGTTTGAATACGCAATGGAATGTATTAGCAAAAGATGTTACTGCGGCACCATATGTGGTTATTAAAAAAAACCAAACTTGTAATACTACTACTTGCATGAGATGTGAACCATGCAAGATTTGTTTTCATACATACACGTGCAGTTGTAGAGAGTATATGATTCAATCAAACATTTGTAAGCACATCCACGCATGCGTTAGAGTTTTTCTATCAGATACGGGTTTTGAGCGTGAATTGTTAGAAAGGGATATGATTCAAAGATGTGAAGATTTTAGAAGTTTAGAGGGATTACAAATAAGTACACAAACAAGCACAGAACATAATAAAGAGGCTTGCTATGCAGTAATAAAACTTGCAGGACAAGAACTTATGAATTTAATAGAAAATGAACAATTTGGTAACCATGAAATATTTATGAATAGAATTTTGTTATGCGCCGACACTCTTACCTATTTACCGTCGCATTTATGCCTCTATGTGTATACTATCACATTTATTACTCTATGGACTCTACATCTCTCGAGTTCCACCTTATATTCTATGGACTCTATATTTCCGGCTAGACACAGGACCTCAATGTTTATTACAAGCTCACATTTCTCTCTCTGGACTCGAAAAGTAACACATAACCTTATATTACCTTTAATGAAGTTCTGTATAATAATATCTATATTCTATAATAAATCTATAAAACTTGTGTTGTGTTTTAAAATACTAAAATTACCTACATTGCTGAAGGCAAATATTTAACAATTTGTTTATTTGTTCAACAAACAAAAGCATCATTGCAAGATAATTCTAGAGAATGTGCGAATAAAAGGATGGAGTGCCAACGAGGAAAGAATAAGGCCACTTAATTTGTTATTAAAATTATATTATATATTTGGTTTATATAATTGGTTTGAATCCTATTTGAGAGGTAGAAAACTATGCGTGAAATTAATTGACTCAATATCAGATAAATGTACGGTCTCTTCAGGAGTGCCGCAAGGATCTCATCTTACATCATTGCTATTTTGTATATTTGGGAATGACATTGGCAATGATTTCTCATCTGAGTTTTCTTTATTTGCAGATGACTCTAAAATATACAGGAGCATAAGAAACAAAGGTGATTTGTGTGCACTCCAGGAAGACTTAAATCGATTATCTAGATGGTATGAAATAAATAAATTTAAATTGAATGTGAGTAAATGCGCAGTTATTAAATTTTGTCGCGGCAGTGAAAGCTACTCTAATCATCGATACTTCATAGCAGAAGAAATACTTCTGCAGGTGGATGGTATCCGTGATTTGGGAGTATATATAGATAGAAAGCTAGCATTCGATGGTCACTTGAACAATATTGTGTCAAGGGCAAATAGTATACTCAGTGGTCTGCTCAGAAACAGTGGAGATTTCCAAAATGATGATACCCTAAGTGTACTATTTGATACCTTAGTCAGACCAATATTAGAGTATGGGTGTGTAATTTGGGACCCGATTTACCAATATCAGATTGAGAGAATTGAATCTGTCCAAAAAAAAAATGTCAATCATCTAAGATTCCGCAGATACAAGAGCAATATTCAGTTAAGTCAGTCCCAAATGTACAACCATCTTAACATTACCCCACTCGATGCTAGAAGAATATACCTCACCTTCTGCTATGGAGTAAATATTTTGGAAGGTGCTTTATATGCACCTGAACTTCTCAAACGCATAAAATTTGTTGTATGAAATGTTAAGTCAGTTCGTTCGAGACAGCCATACGGTACACATCGAATATTTTCTATAAATTCAAGCCTATCTTACGTAATGTCTGCCGAGTCAGACGGCATTGTCGGGCGACCGCCCGACCCGAGCGTCAGCAGCAGTTGCTCTGTGATTGGTTCGACGATTGCAGGAGCTATGTACACGTGCTTAGACAATAACATGGATTTGGAGTGTGCAAATGTAATTAGTGTTGATAGTAGCGAGAGAAAATTAGTGTCGGAAAAGAGTAGTACCGGTAAAATAAGCAAAGCGTATAAAAATATTAAAGAAAGTGTTAAATCAAGCAAACCATACAGAAATTCGAAAGAAAGTCTTAGAGAAGAAATATTTAAAAGAAGTGTCAATTTAAGAGATAAAATTGTTGGTATCGACAATTTAGATAATAGTAAAGATATGAATAGTATTAATGTGCAAAGTAATCCGAGTGAAGTACGAGGGAACAATACTATGATAGACAATAGTATGATTAGTGAACACACGCAAGGTAATTCAAAATCGTGTGAGGTAATTAATATGGTCAGTGAATTTAATAATATTACGTCAGATAATAGTGTGAATAATGTTAATATACAAGTTAATTCGGAATCAAGCGAAGAAATTAATATGGAGAGTATTCCCATTAATAGTGAGTCAAGTAATGACATGGATAGTATTAATATGCAATGTAGCTCAGAAGTGTGTGAAGAGGTCAATATGGGAAAGTCATTTGAATATTCCTAACACTGTCAATAATGCAGCAAGATTCGATGCATGCGACAAAGGACCATTTATTGTTTATATTGAATCCATTGATAAGAATATAGGTAGGCTACATCCTATGTCTCTGGGAAAAATAATACACAATACAGGAGTTGATTATAAATTTGGGATAGCGGAAATATCTTCTATAGGAATAAATAAAATAAAGCTAGAATTCAAAAATGCGAAAATAGCAAACAAGTTTTTAGAGTGTAATGTACTAGATAAAAATAAATATAAAGCATATATACCGAGATATGTTCTTTTTAGACAAGGAATAATTTTCGATGTAGACCCAAACCTTACAAAAGAAGAAATTCTAGATGTGATAGAATCAGATATACCTATCATTGATGTGGTATGTCTGAGGTCGAAAAATATTGGTGTACATAAAGCACAGTGTGTTAAAATAATTTTCAGGAGAGCAGACTTACCAAATAAAGTTGCTATTCATTCAGTCAAATGTGAAGTTAGGCCTTTTATACCTAGAATTGTACAATGTTTTAAATGTTGCAGATTCAATCATATCAAGGAGCAATGTAGGAGTAAACAGCAATGCATGAAATGCGCCGGGGAACATAATGAAGATAATTGTGATGCGTCTGAATTGTTATGTGTATTATGTAAAGGAGAACATCCAGCAAATAGCAAGGTTTGTCCTATTTTCATGCAAAATAAAGTCATTAAGGAGATGATGGCTATGCAGAACATACCTTACCATGAAGCGAGAGATTTAATTCGACGCGATACATATGCTAGCAAGACTAAATCCAAGTTTGTTAGTTTTGATAAAAATAATGACTTTCCAGTCATTAAATCCAATACAAATCATAAACAGACATCAGGCCCGGTTTTAAACCACATTAATAGATTCGACGTCTTATCAGACATGGAAGGTGAAGAACGTAATGATAATGGAAAGGTGGCCACAATCAGTAGACCTAAAAGATATGGTTTCAAAACCATAAACAGAAAGTCCGAGATTAAGACTAATTTCACAGAGAATAAAAAGGAGGAGCTGGTATCAGCAGCAGTTACTTAAAACCAGTTGGAAACAAAGTATAGTCCTAGGAAGCGTGTAAAATCAAATTCGGAACATGTAACCGTAGATCGGTCAATTCGGAATATAAGTGAGCAGTATAAAGACTCAGATAAAAACATTGCAGAGGTTATGAAATTAATGAAGGAAATTTGCAGTACGGGTGATGAAAATCAATTTAAATTGCTAATATTTGACATGAAAAAGATATTGAATGTACAGCGGGGTGGAGCTGGAAATCAGCACCAATAATGTCTTTAGTTTCGGTCGTAATTACTAATAAATACTTAATAGAACATGACAAGAATAGTGTGTATATATAATAACATTTAAAAAAGTTATAAATAATTAATACAAATCGATTTTATGGCAAGTACAAATTTAAAGAATAACTCTGTAATGGATGTAACAATTCTTCAGTGGAATGCAAGGTCATTTATGTCTAATAGAAGTAGTTTAGAATATTTTTTGTCATGTCAGGATATATCAATCTTGGCTATTACTGAAACCTGGTTTCAGAAAGAGAAAACTTATGTATTTTCAAATTATAATATAGTGAGAGAGGACAGAGATGATGGAAAAGGAGGTGCGGCGATATTCGTGCATCGTAACCAGCCATATAATGTGGTAGCAATTAATTTAGGATCTTTGGATCCAAAAAGATGCCAAAGTTGTGGAATTTACTTAATGGTAGAAAATGTTAAATTATACGTTATTTCTATTTATGTTGCACCTAATTATTATATCTCAGTAAATGAGTGGAATGATTTTCTTTCGCGATTGCCCAAACCCGTTATTCTTTGTGGAGATTTCAATGCACATCACTTTTCATGGGATAGTAATTTTAGTGACAAATATGGTAATAATTTCTTAGAGGCTATTGAAAACAATAATTTATATATTCTCAATAATGGAAAGCCTACCTTAAAATTTAAAAATAATATGTCAGTAGTTGACATCTCTTTGTGTTCGCATAATTTTGCGCACAGAATAGACTGGAATGTATGTGATGATTCATTAGGGTCGGATCATTATCCAATTTTGCTGAAGTTGAGAGGTGTGCCAAGAACAAGAAAATATAATCCAAGTTGGAATTGTAAAAAAGCCGATTGGACAAAATACCAGTCAGAGATAGGAAAAAATTTGGAGAGTTTTAATAGCAACGACCCGGTTCGTGCGTATGATTTTTTCATAAATGCTATTAATTCAGCGGCCAGAAAAAGTATTCCGATAAAAAATGGGGACCTGAATGCTAAATGTGCTAAACCAGTATGGTGGGATGAGGAGTGTGATAAATTAATAAGAGAGCGCAGAAAGGCGGAAAAAATATATAGACAAAAGTCTAGTTATGAAAACTTTGTTGTATGTAATACTATTAACAGTAATATTGTTGAAAGTTGTGGATAGTGTTGGTGAATTAGAGGCGTAGGAATGAAATGCTAGAGATGTATGAGGATTTATACTGAAATTATTAAAAAAGGTATCGTAAGATGTGAATTCAGGGGTGGGTGTAGTGGGAGGTATTTGGATATGTAAGGCATTTGGCAACTGAAAAGGATGATTGGGAATCAGAAACAATATTTACGGAAGGATCACAGGGAATGTAGCTATGAAACTTATTAATATGTATATTCAAAGAAAATTTAGTATGTAGTTTTTTTTGTCAAAAACTACATTCAAATGTAGTTTTATATTGAATGCTTTGTTCGCCATGAACCTCGCGAACATGGCGATATAAGGAGCTACTACAGTTAAATTGCTTAAAGCAACGTGAACAGATGGTTTTGCTACTCATATTGAAAACTTAAAATTTACCTATCCCTATAAGTGTAAACAATATAAAAACTACCTATCCCTTATAATAACTGCATATCTTTACAACGATGTATATATGCAAAAAAAACTATCTATTCCTATAACTATATATGCAAAAAAAACCTATCTGGAAGGTGAGCCCAACCTATTTAGAAGAAAAAGCTAAACCTATTTGAAATAAGAAATGCTTAATTGATATAAAATGACTAGTAAGTAGTAAGCTAGTAAGTAAACCTAACCTATGTTAAAATAAGACCTATTATGCGTTATGATCTGAGAATACAATTGGGACTATTTTGCAATCAACGATATTTTTATTTAAACTTCATCAGCATAAAAACGATCTATTCTTGAACCCGAATTTCCTCTAATAAAAGTATACTCGACCTTATTTTTATTTGTATTTTCCCAAACGTCTTTTAATTTTAGTTGTGTCACTACTCTTTTTAAAGCACCGCTAAAATTTCCTTTACCTTTTTGATCTTTGGCATCAGTTACGCAATTAAAATCTCATGCTAAAACTAAACTTGTATTATTACTGCCTATTACACTAGCCATGTTTATTTCAAATAATCTTTCCCTCTGTGCACGTTTACCATTTCCTGCATGTGCATATACATTTAGAAAATTAATCCCATCAATATTTGCCCCTAATAATCTTGAATTTTCATGCATCTTAATGTTTTTAACTGTTAATCCAAATCTAGTTAAAATTTCTGTGCCTCTTTGATTTTCATTTATATTAATTATGATTTGATATGGCTTAAAAAAAACTTAAATCAATTTCATTAACTTCCTGCAAAAAAATAATATCTAAATCGTTGTCTATTATAAATTTTCTCAAAGGTGTTTTTGTCGTCAAACTTCTCATTCTATTTACATTTATTGTCGCAATATTTCTAATTTTGTCATCAGGCATTGTAGTGGTGTATGTTTTAAATTTTTTCAATTTGAAGGCGTTTTCATGGACTGGATTTTCACCATATTCTTTGTTATATTTAAGCGAGTCATCTATCATAATTTCATCTTCTTCTTCGAGAAAATCTATAAGACTCGAATCAGTTTCCATGGATATTTTGTCAACAACTTCCTTCATAACTTCTGCTGTGTTTGGTGTTGTTATTTTAGTTCGTTTAAATTTAATTGGCGTCTTCTCAATTTCTTTCATATTTTGTGCTCCTTCCGTATTTTTTTTCTTTCCGTATAAAGTTTCATTTATTATTGTCATTTTCTTTTCTTTATTTATTTTAGAATGTTCTTTACTATCATTTTTTTCCATTACTATCTCTTCGGTTTCTTTTTTCGTAATTTGTTCTTGAAATCTATGTTCTGTTGTGTATAAATTTTCCGTATGGTATCCAATCGGTTCTTTTCCTATTACAATCTTCATTCTTTGATCTATTTTGGAAGGCTCCGCGCAGTTGATTTTTAAGTGGTTTCAGCTCTACAATTGAATCATTTTCTGGGTTGACCTTTAATTATAATTGTGGTAATTTTACCATTAATCTTAATTCTGCTTGGTAATTCTTTTTTTATTTCCATGATTATTGTTCTGTTGCCAGTTAAACATGGAATTATTCCCTCACCCGGCCCACATATCTTCTTGATATTTTAATATTTTTCCATATTCTGACATAATATTATATATGAAGCAGTTTATGGATTGAAACAGTTTTGGTATAGTTTGTTATTGTTTATTCGCCGTGAAATATAGGTACAATATTTATATCGTGCTGTATATCTCTCCTGGCTGCCGAATGGTAGAATAGGCCTTTTGCTTCGATGGCGGGTTCTTTTATTCAGGCCTGAGACGGCCATCTTGATGCGTGCGCATTCCCAAATACTGCAGGCCCGTATTTAATGCAGGGCTGTACTTGAGTGTCGCCGCACAGCCCCCTACGGTGAAAAAGAAAGAAAATTATTATTCTTTGTAATTCTGAAATCGTACCTGCCGTCCTCGTCTTGTTGTATATTTTTCAGATGTGACGTGCTCTGCTGTTGTGCATTCTTCGGCAGTCGTGTATGCAGGCTTTAGTCTGTCTTTAGAAAAGGATTTTGGCTGGCCCAAAACGTCCAGTTTAAAAGTCTTTTCTCCTCTTTCCAAAACCTTGTAAGGTCCTTTATAAGGTTGCGTCAGAGTCGGCTTAATCATATCTTGTCTGATGAAAACATGACTAGACTTGTCCAGATCTTTATGGATGAAACTCTTTTTCGGGCTATGAGATGACGTAGGCTGTGGCTTTAAATTTCTAAAGATTCTATGTAAATTATCCATGACGGTTGTAGTTGATATGTCCGTATGATCTTTAAAAAATTGACCAGGAAGTCTCAAAGGTTCTCCAAAGGTGAGTTCTGCGCTAGAATTCTTCAAGTCTTCCTTCGCCACTGCTCGCAATCCCAATAGAACCCATGGCAATGCTTCTAACCACGACTCATTTTCGTGGCACATAAGGGCAGACTTTAATGTTCGGTGTATGTTTTCAATAAGGCCATTAGATTGCGGGTGATATGACGACGTATGAATTAGTTTTGTTCCACAAAATTGTGCCATACTGCGGAATGTTGCTCCGTCGAATTGTCTTCCTCTGTCGGTTGTTATTGTTGCCGGTGTTCCGAATCTGGATATCCAACAAAAAATAAAAGCCCAAGTCACAGTTTCTGCAGTTATGTCTGGTAGTGGATAAACTTCTATCCATCTAGTGTATCTATCTATGCAGGTTAGTAAATATCGCGCACTTTTGCAAATTGGTAGAGGACATACGATGTCAATATGTACGTGTAGAAATCTTGCAGATGGAACGTTAAATTTTTGTAAAGGTGTAATTGTATGTCTACCTATTTTGCTGCGTTGACATTGTATGCAATTCTTTGACCAGGTACGGCAGTCACGCCGTATATTTGGCCAAACAAAGCGTTCCGTCAGCATTTTGACTGTTGCTCTAACAACTGGATGACTTAGGCTGTGCACGTTGTCAAAAATTTTCTTTCTTAGACTTACAGGTACGAATGGTCGTTCTCTTCCTTGAGATGTATCGCAGTATACGGAGTAATTCGTTCCTGGAATTCTTTGTTTCTTAAGTTGTAAGGCAGTTTTCATCGATAAATATTGTTTAAGCTCCTTGTCCTCCTTTTGAGCTTTTGCTATTTCGGTAATTTTCAATTGGGAACTGATTGATTCAATTCTAGAAAACAAGTCAGCCGGAATATTCTTGGTCCCGCTCACATGTCTAACATCTGTCGTGAATTGTGACATATCTGTTATCTGATTGAGTTGAACTGGTGGTAGGCGGTCGTGTTTTTGCTGAAAAACATACACAAGTGGTTTGTGGTCGGTGAACCAAATGAAATTACGACCAATAATTTGATTCTTGAAGTATTGAAATGCTTTACACCCTGCTAACAGCTCGCGGTAGTACGCTGGCCACGTTCTTTGTTTTTCAGAAATTTTCTTCGAAAAATAAGCGAGAGTTTTCCATTTACCGTTTGTATATTGTTGTAGCACTGCACCCACGGATTTGTCTGAAGCGTCTGTAAATAAAGCAAGTTCTGCATCAGGCAATGGATGCGTTAGTAAGGTAGCTTCAGCGAGATTCTTCTTACAAGCTTCGAAAGCTGCTGTAAGCTTTTCATCCCAGTCGATTTGGCTTGTGTCCTTCGATTTAGGTTTTGACAATAAAACTTGTAAATCTACTTGATATCTGGCAGCATTCGGACAAAATTTTCGATAAAAGTTTATCATGCCTAAGAATCTCCGTAATCCTCTTATAGTTTTTGGTTTTGGAAAATTTAACAATGCGGTTATCCTCTCTTTTGGGGGTTTTGTGCCATGCTCTGTAATGCAGTATCCTAGGAATGTAACTTCCTTAGCGCCTAGAATGCATTTAGATGGGTTTACTACTATACCATAATCTGCTAAACGTTGGAACAACCTACGGAGATGGTGTTCATGTTGTTCTTCACTTTTAGATGCGATTAGAATATCATCAATTAATGGAAAACAAAAATCTAATCCACTGGTTACTTCGTCCATAAATCTTTGGAAAGTTTGCGCTGCATTACGTAGGCCGAATGTCATAAAGGGGAACTCAAATAAACCAAAAGGTGTTGTAATTGCCGTCTTGGGAATATCTTCATCGTAAACAGGTATCTGCTGGTATGCTTTCTTAAGGTCTATTATTGAAAATATGTTACAACCTGATAAGTGTTGTGAGTAGTCACTCATGAGCCTGACTGGGTACCTATCCGGGATTGTTCTTGCATTTAATGCTCGGTAGTCTCCACATGGTCTCCATGTATCGTCTTTCTTTTGGACTAGATGTAACGGTGATGACCAAGGGCTACTTGATGGTCGGGCAGTACCTAATTGCACCATTTCTTCAAATTCCTGTTTGGCAATTTTTAACAGCTGAGTTTCTAATGGACGGGTTCGTGCTACCACTGGTGGACCAGGAGAGGTTTTGATATAATGTACTGTTGTATGTTTTATTTGTCGTGGAAGTCCTGGCGGTCGCGTCAAAGAAGGAAATTCTTTAAAGATTTCACTAAACTTTGATTTGATATTGACAGTTTTAATGCTTCCCTTTTGTACTGTTCCTTTGTTTATTGTTCTTACCTGTAGGTTTGTAGTACCGTCTACTAATCTTGAATTCTTTGCGTCGACGATTATGTTGTAATATGACAGAAAATCTGCGCCTATTATAGGTGTTGACACATCAGCAATAACAAAATTCCAGATGAATTTGCGCCTTAGACCTAAGTCGAGATTCAACTGTATATCTCCATATGTACGGATCTCGGTATTGTTTGCTGCAGACAGTTTGTAATCGGACTTGAAAACTTTGCGTTGTATAAACATACGTGGGTATATACGACACAGTCGTACCCAGATCACTACCTGTGTCTATCAAAAATTGTACTTTGGTTGGTTTATCTGAGATGAACATGCGGCGTGAATGTGTTTGACAAACACTTGCCGCATCTAGTGCCTGTCTTCTTCGTTTCCCGACATTTTGCATGGTTGCGTGCATTTCTTAGCTTTGTCTCCAAATTTGTAGTGGTACCAGCACGTATCAAATCTTTGCCTGCTACCATTTCTTTGGCGTGAAAAACTTCTTGTGCGCGAGATTTTCCTAGAACGAGAATTATGCCGATATCTAGGACGTCTATTTTGCAATTCAGCTACCATTTTTGTTAGGTCTTCTACTCGTTTTAATAATTCAGACGTTGTACTGTCGGTAAGGCTTGTGGCGGCTACTGTTGGCGCGATGTTAACCTCACCGATGCTATCTGCTATGGTGGCTAGGTCTTCAATTTTCATGGTCGGATGGGCCTTTAATATTTGTTGTGTATGCGTAGGTAATCTTTGTAGCCACAAGGTTCTTAAAATGTTCTCATCTAGTAGTGGACCGGCCAATGATGTTAGGTGTCGTAAAAATTGCGACGGTTTTCGATCACCCAGTTCCTCTTGCTCTAGCAACCTTCGAATCTTTTGGTCTTGTGACTGTGATAAACGTTGTATTATTTCTTTCTTTAACTTAGTATAGGGCTCGACTTTCGGTGGATTTAATATTATATCTTTATTATATCCTCATCATATCAACAACTCTGATGCGATAGAGAAGGTTCAGCGCAAATTTCTGAAATACCTTTATTATAAAACATATAAAATTTACCCTGAACGTGGCTTTGACCACAACACTTTACTAAAAGAATTTGGTATTCCTTCCCTTGCCTCACGTCGATTTATCTGTACAATTATGTTCTTATTTAAGCTTTGCAATAATTCTATAGACTGTCCTCTTATTCTCAATCAACTATCCTTTAATGTTCCAAGGCTATCTTCGCGTTCACAATTATTTTCCAATTATCCTACCCTAAATCTAATTCTCTCTTAAATTCGCCAATTTTACTAATGTCCTCTAACTTTAACTTAATTAATAATGAAATAGACATTCACAACACTTCACCTAATCAAATAATCTCCATCTGCACAAGTTAATCTTTTTATTTTCTTTCAAATATCTCATTATTTTCTGTTTATAAATATTATTGTTACATTCTGCATTATATGAAATTATATCTTAGCATTTTATGTTACTAACTATATATTGTAATTTTGTATATATTTTAATTGTTATTCATTATTCATTTTTTTTTTTTTTTTTTTTTTTTTTTTTATTGCTATTTTATTAATTTAAATTTTTTACGGTTTTAAATGAGTATAACTTTCAACCTTGTGCAAGAATTTTGAGCTTGACTAGTGGTCAAATAGACTTTAATATGATGAACTTGATGATGAACATTGTATTTAATGTTTGAATGCTTTTTTTCAGCTCTTTTTTTCAGAAGCGAAATTCGTGCAGCGACTATGATTATTATATAATAAAATTACTATCCTTTTAATATTAACTATGAATAAGCTTGACAAGAGCCTGAAATAATATCTATTATTATTGATTACGGCTTGCTTATGAATAAATAAAATAAATAAAATAAAATAAATAAATTATGTCAAATAATTGTATTTTTGAGTCCTCTTGGAGAAATCTGTCGGCTATATATTTAAATAAATAAATAAATAAATAAATAAATAAATAAATATCTTCCACTTCACTGGCTAATTTGTCATCTAAATATGATAATATAAATTCATATTTGACATCTTCTGTTTTTATTCGTGATCGATTAAAATGTGCCTCGATCATCGCGAACCATAATTGAGGTTTTTCATACCAAAATGTTGGTATAGGCCTCGCAATTCCATGTGATACGCCTGCATTTGCGTCGTTGGAATTTTCGGATTTCACTGTCTTATCTTCTTCACTCATTTCACAAATAATTGAGAAAAACAAATTAAATATTCACTAAAAAATATCACTGAATGTTCAAAAAAAAAAAAAAAGGAAAATTACACTTCTTATAAAAAAATAAAATAAAAAATGTTGTTGAATCTTCAATACACTTAAGTTAATTCACTATTGTTCTGTTTTACTCACGACAGGTAGATGAATATACCTTCTATCACGTCACCAACTATTATATCACGTCGGGGTCACCAATGAAGCAGTTTATGAATTGAAACAGTTTTGGTATAGTTTGTTATTGTTTATTCGCCGTGAAATATGGGTACAATATTTATATCGTGCTGTATATCTCTCCTGGCTGCCGAATGGTAGAATTGGCCTTTTGCTTCGATGGCGGGTTCTTTTATTCAGGCCTGAGACGGCCATCTTGATGCGTGCGCATTCCCAAATGCTGCAGGCCCGTATTTAATGCAGGGCTGTACTTGAGTGTCGCCGCATATATATACTCTTCCGAGATTTCCCATTGAATATTAAGTAACTTGATCCACCGAGCCGGTTTACTTGGCTCGCTTACTTCAATTTCGTAAATTTTATTATCTTCCGATTTAAATTTCAGATTTTTTTCGTATTTTTCTTTTATTTTCTTCCAATATCTTCCTTATTAAATTTTACGTTTAATATTTTATATTCCATTGAAATTCCGTGTATACTAGACACATTTTCGAACACACTTTCTATTATTTCTTTTAGCCACATATGCACTTTTAAAGAGAATGGGACCTTCTGCCATTTTAAAATTAAAAAGAAGCGTATTTACACTTTTGAAACGCTCCATTATTATTTGCTCGAACAACAGCACTTGCCGTGTTATTAAATATCACGTACGTAATAGTCTACTTCTACTAGGTGTTCACTCGTCAAAATCACGAATTGAACTGGCGGATTAGGAATTGCCAAATATTTTATATTTTACTCGTAACAAATATTTTTTAAATTGCAATAAAAAAAATCTTGTAATTTAGGCTGTAAAACTTCATTGTTAAATATAGAATATGTAATATGATTAGTTGATGTTTGGATATCTATAAAGTTTTTTTTTTGTTTCATGTTTACAAAGATCAATCAATGTTTGCATTTTTCTGATGTATTTGAAGATTTTGATACAAATATTAAAATATTTTGATTTTTAGTTTTTTTGCATATATTGCTGATCAAAATAATATAATTTTTTAAGACAATATGCTGGTTGTACTTGTTACGGATGGGGGTTGGTTAGACCCCTTCGGAATAGCTAATTGAATTTGACTCAATAGCTATTTTAAGGATTTGATATAATTGAATATATTAAATAAAATATTCGACGTTCTCTACGTGCTCGGCGGTCCAGTCGGATGGCGGCTTCAAGTTCGGAACTCTCAGATCGCTATAATGAATGGATACTGAGGTAGGATTTGACTATAGAAGCACAATAAAAAACACTGGATGAAATTAATAACGTAAATACAACACAAGCTACATCGAACACTCGGAAAATTTAACAAAACTCATACGGAACACAAATGCAAATGGCCTACGTGACAAGCCAGACAGCGAGAGACTGTTCACACGCCAGATCAGCTATTACGTCCAAATCTTTGCGGATTGCCAGAGAAAAGGGGTTGTCTGATTATTACCAATATCAACTGGCGACTTCTAAGAAGATTCTGGCGCGAACAGTACTTTTAGTTATTGAAGAAATAAAATTATTATTGTTTTCTACTATATTTGTATTTAAAATAATCTATCTGTTTGCAGTATATAAAAATGTTTGAAAATTATCGGTTAGTTTAGCGGTTAAATATGAAAATTTTGCATTTTCCTGAATGTTTTTTGTATCTTCCTGAATGTCTTTGGCACTATTTTGCAATTCAAAAGAAGATCTAGATAAACTGTCTGCATTTGTATTTGTTATCCCAGCTTTATAGATAATTTTAAATTCAAATTACTTCAATTTTAGTCTCCTACGCACTTGTCGAGAATTCGGTTTTTACAATTATATAAATAAAGGCATGTGATCAGTAAATAATTTAAAGGGATTTCCCATACGATTGGTAATAATTGCTTATCCCTTGTAGAGTAATTTAATTCACTTTTATTTAAGGTTCTGGATACGTACGAAATTGGAAGATCCCAACTATTTACATTTTGAGATAAAACTACACCTATGGCTACGCCACTAGCATCTGTTGTTATTGAAAAATTCCTACCAAAATTTGGATATTGTAAAATTAGTGGGTTTATTAATTTTTCCCTCAAAGTATTAAATATAATTTTGGACCAAATAAATTTAGAATTTTTCTTTAGTAATTTTGTGAATGGATTTGTTATTTTTGAAAAATCTTTTATGAACTTCTTATAATAACTTGATAATCCTAAGAATATTTTAATTTCTTTGGGATTTGAAGAGGTTTTGAACTCACTGACTGCCTTCATTTTTCGAGGTTCATTAATATACAATCAGCAGCCCTCCACCCATTCCATAACCATTGTACAGGTTTCCACAAAAAAGATTTTTGATCATTATTCATTTTTTTATTACATAGGGACCATTCTGTTTTAATAACAATGAAAAGTTATAATAAACTGTTCTTGTCATAGTGACCACATTAAAAGGATTTTTCTGTCGTGATGTTTTCACCAACTGAAACCGCTCATTCAGATGTAGGGCTCCCAAAACCGTACAAAAATCTAAAACCGGTATTCGATATTTGAAAAATGAAATTCCTGGATCCCGGTTTTAATACCAGTATTGTCAATGAAAAATTGGTTATATTTTTACTTACTTCAGTTGTTATAATTCTAGGTAACTCCTCCTTTTCTATATTTCTTCATTTCCTTCTTAATGTTCGTGTTTCATTTTTTTGCTTTTTACTTCAATATCTCACTATTCAAATTCTGTACTTCATTTTCTTAATTTGACAGTACAAATTTTACGCCACCGGTGGGGCTTTGAACCGAGTACCCCTGGGGACGAGCATGCTACCCACTAGGCGACCCTCGCCTCAATATATTATTTTTCTTACATAGTTAAAAAAAATCTGCCAATGTTGTTTTTGGTCCCTCAAATGCCCTTTGCTGAAAATTTTGTGCTGTGAAGTACACACGTTGTCCGTTCTCAAGATGAACTGCCAGATGCTGGACAGAAGGGTTTCGTTCATGAATTGGAAAACTAAAAATATGCCAAATAGCTTTGTTGCTGCTAATATATCTACCCATTTGATAATGCGTTATCTCATCATTTTTATTTATTAATATTATTAATATTTTATTAATATTTTGTAGCTTGCTAAACATATTGCTAAATCATTACCTTTAATGACGTACTTACAAATGTATTTTATAGATTTGACTGAGCTGCAAAGTTCCACATTAATATGAGCTTCATATGCTTTTGTAAGTAATGGTGAGTGTGCTACAACCCACCTATTATTTCAACTGGCTCATCAAAGTTACGTAGTCTTATTGTAAAAGTGTGTCCACCATTGTCTTGATCTGTGCGTCGGTACAGAGGATAACCGTCAACGTCCGTGATGGTATCATTAGTTGGTAGCTTCGAAAAATTTTTCTCACACCTTCCATTTTCCATACATGGCGCCTCCATGTTGAAAATTCCACACGGGCCATGGATCATGTGTTTCGTGAAAATATCAAATAATTTTTGATCTGTTGTTTGATCAGCTGTTTCTGCTGATATTATTTGATCAATATTTTGTGGTCGGATTTTATCTTCAAGTCAAATTAAAATGGACATGAGGCAATCCACGTTTTTGCCACTCAATCGAGTACAACTAACAACGTGTGATACCAAAAACAGAATATTTAACAATGAAGTCAATTAATGATTTCAGCTTCTGTCTAAGCACACGCGCAGTTATTTATTTTATTTTATTTATTTTATTTATCATATAGCCCACAGAGAAGCTCCAGGAGGACTTAAAAATACAATTTTAATATATGATACAACAGCACATAACATAATTCATAACATTACAATACATAATACACAATAAAAAAACTATCAAATTCTTAACGGTAAAACTAAACTATATATAATGGAAATAACCAGCTTCTAATGATTGAAAAAGCTTATCGTTAATTCCAACATGTAATGGGATATGCGACAGTAAATTTCTAAAAGTTCGAAGACTCGGCAATATAAATATTTGCCTCGAGAAATAGCAGGCCTTTGGCGACATTTTTATAAAATGTCAATGAGAGAATTTTATCTTCAAATGTGAACTTTCTTCCATTCGGTTTTTTGTATGTTCTCTCAATTTGCATTTTATGACTTGCCCTTAAATTTAACGTTGCTGGAATACAAGAGAATTTTTCAGCACATTTGATGCTCTGCTGAAATTTGTCCCGTAAATTTATATTTTGTTTATTAATTATTCGCACTGTATCAAAATTTTTGATGTGTAATACATCTTATGGACTCGAGGTGTCAAGGCATTGCAGCGTTTTTGTTTGACCACTCAAAAATCACTCAAAAAATAGCTCACGGTGTATAATTACCTATGACCGGATTACCTGTGACCCGAATCCCTCTTTTTCCCTCCCTCTATCCAACTATACTTATCCAACGATAATTTGAATAGAGTGTTCATGATGCTATCCAACTTGTTCTATGCGACATATATATTGAGTCGTATGAATTTGTTTATTGGAATTTAAAAGATTTTAATAAATAGTTTAAATATATAAATTTTAAATAATGTACCCATCTCCATATTGAGGCTCTCCTCTACTTCTCCATGTTCTATTTCACATATCTGTTCTGCAATAAATATTAACGTGAATTTTTTGTTGAATGATATGATATAAAGATATTAAATAATGTACCTTTTTCCATATTGGGGCCAACCTCTATTTGTTCGTTTTTCTCCTGTTCACTATCAACACAGGATGTGAACTCTGCCCTCGCTTCATATACTTTTATTAGTTTATAATTTGAAAATGTAGCTACACATTTCCCCGTGACAATT